CAGCACTCGCCTCAAAACACTGTGTTCATCCGCGCTGTTTCATGCCGATTTACAACCCACGTAAAGATAATAATTCCGCGAATCACTGCAGTTACAGATTTCGAACAGAGAGATGGCGACAAAGAGGAAAAGATACGGACTGCAGCTTTAATGTGAAGCTGCTTTGAAACAATCAACTGTTCAACAAAAGTTCTTCTCTATATCAGTGTCAGTGTTTCTGAACTCATTGTAGTCTTGAGTTTCTCCCGGGAACGAACACGTCACAATATTCCTCATTATAATAATTCATACGCAGAATAAAGGGGCGGGGCCTGGTTGAGTTAGTTAGTAGTGTGTTAAACTGGCGGTTATGGAAAGGGGTGGGACATTTCCCAAACACACTCGAAGCGCTCGACCAATCACAACACACGGATCCAGTCGACCAATCAGAGCACAGTGTGCTTTTCAGAAGGAGGGGCTTCATAGAGACAGGAAGTAAACAGGGGTGTGTTTCTCAAAAGCGTCGTTAGCCAACTATGTTCGCAAGTTCCGTCGTTATCATCAGTTTAACGAGTCGGTGTTTCCCGAAACCATCGTTCCAACGAACATTCGCAAACAGCATCGCAGAGGTGTGTGTGTGTGAGCGACAGATCTCGACCTGTGGTTAGAAGCAGTTTCTAGTTTGCATGACATGTAGATTCAATAAATCCTGATCTTGAGACAAATAATCAAGCTGACATTCAGTACAATCTATATCTTTTATTTGGGATACATACAAATGTCATTTACGTCAAGAGATTTAAAGCGTAGTTTTTGAATAGTGCGCATGTGTGAACGAGCTCTAGTGTGTAAGAACGAGCCGATGAGTGAATCTGGAAATAAAGCAAAATAACTGAGAAAAATGAGAAATATTCCTCAGATGTCTGTAATATATAGCAAAACATCTCGCATTAATTCGATCTCAAACAGATTCATTAACAGTAGTGATTACTCCAACACGTGCGTGACATCATTAACCGACGTGGTTGAACGACCAGTTTGCAACAATACGATTTCGGGAAACAGTCGTGACTCACTAGTTGATTTCTTCAACGATGCATCGTACTATTATGGAAGCTTGTTTCCGCCACAGAATGAAAAATAAAAAAGGTAATTGCGACTTTTTATCTCACAATTCAGACTTTATTTCTCAGAATTGCGAGATATAAAGTCAGAATTGCGAGATATAAAGTCAGAATTGCGAGATATAAAGTCAGAATTGCGAGATATAAAGTCAAAATTGCGAGATATAAAGTCAGAATTGCGAGATATTAAGTCAGAATTGATTGATATAAAGTCACAATTGGGTGATATAAAGTCAGAATTGCGTGATATAAAGTCAGAATTGCGAGATATAAAGTCAGAATTGCGAGATATAAAGTCAGAATTGCGAGATATAAAGTCAGAATTGCGAGATATAAAGTCAAAATTGCGAGATATAAAGTCAGAATTGCGAGATATTAAGTCAGAATTGATTGATATAAAGTCACAATTGGGTGATATAAAGTCAGAATTGCGAGATATAAAGTCAGAATTGCGATATAAAGTCAGAATTGCGTGATATAAAGTCAGAATTGCGATATAAAGTCAGAATTGCGAGATATAAAGTCAGAATAGCGAGATATAAAGTCAGAATTGTGAGATATAAAGTGGCAATTGCGTGATATAAAGTCAGAATTGCGAGATATAAAGTCAGAATTGCGAGATATAAAGTCAGAATTGCGAGATATAAAGTCAGAATAGCGAGATATAAAGTCAGAATTGTGAGATATAAAGTGGCAATTGCGTGATATAAAGTCAGAATTGCGTGATATAAAGTCAGAATTGCGAGATATAAAGTCAGAATTGTGAGATATAAAGTGGCAATTGCGTGATATAAAGTCAGAATTGCGAGATATAAAGTCAGAATTGCGAGATATAAAGTCAGAATTGCGTGATATAAAGTCAGAATTGCGTGAAATAAAGTCGCAATTGCTTGAAGTAAAGTCGCAAATGGGTGTTATAAAGTCAGAATTGCGAGATATTAAGTCAGAATTGATTGATATAAAGTCACAATTGGGTGATATAAAGTCACAATTGCGTGTTGTAAAGTCAGAATTGCGTGAAATAGTCGCAATTGGGTGTTTTAAGTCAGAATTGCGAGATATTAAGTCAGAATTGATTGATATAAAGTCACAATTGCGTGTTATAAAGTCAGAATTGTGAGATATAAACTATTCTGAGGGGCAAAAAGTCAGTCTTTTTTTTCCTTAGAATTGGCCTGATAACTCGCAATTGCGCGTTTATATCTCACAATTCTGAGAAAAGATGTCAGAATTTCGAGATATAAACTTGCAATTATGTGTTATAAAGTCAGAATTGCGAGATGCAAATGTGAGAAAAAAAGTCAGAATTGTGAGATAAAATGTCTCAATTCTGTCTTTTTTTCTCGCAATTGTGACTTTATTTCTCGCAATTGCGACTTTATTTCTCACAATTCTGACTTCATATCTCGCAATTGTGAGAAAAGTCGCAATTATTATTATTTTATTTTTTTTCAGTGGCGGAAACAAGCTTCCATATACTATAGTAGTGAAGCAGAGCGTTACTGACAGACTGGGAAGAGAGGAGCCGCAACAATGGAGAATATGAGGAAAATAATCAACATTCAAGCAGGAAAACCTGTTCTAGTAGAGCCTGAAACACATCAAGACTGTAGAAGGGTGTAATGGTCCTCTTACAGATTGATATGTGGCTAAGAAGCACCAAAACACAGTGTAGTTTGACTTTGCACAGAAAATTAAAAAAATACTGATTGTTTTTCATATAATTATTTAGCCTGCTGCTTCAACATTGCTTATTTTTCTGTGAACGTAAAAGGCTTTTGTAAATTTGAACCAATTAGCACAATCCACCTAATAACAGGCGACTGCCAACAATCAATAAACCCCATTAGTATTCACACAGTAAAGCGATTAAAGTTGTTTAGCAAGAGGTTTTTAAATAAAAAGGCTAATGTGACGAGATGGATTGTGCCGCTGCCAGTCTTAATCACGTATTTCTGAGAGTTTATACACACAAGCAACTTCATCATCTTGTGTTCATCTGACTGCAGAAAGTGAGGCCTTCATTAAACCGGCCGTGAATGTCCGACAGCGGAAGCCTGTTAAATACTTGATGCTTGACTTGAGATGTTAAATCTGCAGTCAGTCGGCTGTCCAGAGGAATTTAACTAACGTTTAATATTTCATGATCACCTTAAAGAAGACTGTTCTGAAGTGACCCCCCCAGAAAAAGGTAAAAGGAGAAGTTTTCAGCCTGTAATGTACAGTAAATCTGTGTGAATCGATGTGAAGATGAACAGTGAAGGATGTTGAGCGCCACCGTCTGGCATCGTCTGGCATTACAGCATCCACACTGCCGGGAAAATATTATAAAGACTTTCTGGGTAAAATAATGATCAAATATTTATTTTTGTTATTAAAGATAATTAATCATATTATTATTGAATATTTAAATTTTTTTTTTTTTACATTTAGTATGAATTTTATTATTACTGTAATCATTTAATATTTTAAATTTACATTCTTTAATTTAAATATGCATTTATTATTGAGTTTGAATTAGTTTATTATTAATATTATTATTTAAATGTTTAACTTTTTACTATGTACATTTTATAAAGTATTTAGTATTAATTAAATTATTATTTAATATTTAAATGTTTTACATTCTTTAATTTAAATATACATTTATTATACAGTATGAATTATATTATTATTATTTAATAGTTCAATGTTTTACATTTAATTTAAATAGACATTTTTATAAATTTAATATGAATTAGGTTAATTATTTAATATTTAAATGTCACATTTTATCAATTTAAATATACATTTATAAATTATTATTTAGTATGAATTATTTTAGATTATTATTTAAAATTAAAATGTTTTACTTTTTTATTTGAATATACATTTTATAAATTATTAAGTAAGAATTAGATGTTATTGAATATAAACAAATGACATTAATTCATACTAAATAAATGTATATTTTAATTAGATTATTAATAATATTTAAATGTAAAAAAAATTCAATTGAATAATAATAGCCTACATGTATGAATTATTTCATAAATTACTATTTAGTAAGAAATAAATAATTAAGATTATTTACTTATTCAATTTAACCAGTTAACACACATTTTGACAAATGAACTTCCATACGTTTTTTTCCAGTCTGTTGTGACATAATTTGTAAAAAATAAATAAAAATATTTATAGAGATTTCACTCACAAAAATGAATTCCCAGCTAATTGGAAAATAAAAATTATATTCACTATACAATTATGATTTTTTAAAAATGATTTTATTAAGTTTAATGACTTCCACAGGCCTATAAAACACACATATAAAACCCTATGATTAATATTTCCATGTTTTCCATGAGCCTGGGAACCACACACGCTTCTCCGAGAAAGGTTTTATTCATAACATCCGGAGTTCTACAAATATAGACTTTTCCCTTATAAAATCAAGTTATTTACAAACTCATCACTGTCCATCACAAAAAAAAAACCTTTAGAAACAAGTTCATCTCACATATAATCTGCAGGATTAGAATGTCCCCGTTTTTTTTTTTTTTTTTGTTGCTCATAAACAATAATTTTAATGTAGTTTTAGTGGCTTTTTTGAGCAGTTCATGGTCAAATCCAGTCTGACTGTATGGAAACAGAAGCTCAGACGTGTTGCACACACAGAAAGTCTGATGTTTGGGGACATGAGGGTTAGTCTGTTTAGGTGAACTAACCTTTAAAGGTGTTCTTTTATGAGTTGATGCAACATTTTGATTGTTTACCCAGGAAGTGTGTGTGTCGTCTCTCAGCCTGAGGAATGAAACAAACAAACGGGAAAGACCTTCATCCTTCATCCAGGCAACTTCTCGTCTGGCAAAAGTCCTGCTGGGCTTAGTTTTCTAGTTTCATCAGACATGATCTGTGTGTGTGTGTGTGTGTGTGTGTGTCAGTCGTCTGGTTCAGTAACACACTGCTCCACGATCTCCCGCAGGTTCGGGTTCTCCATGGCGGCCGCCACGCGCTCCTTATCGTTGATCTGTTTGTTAACTGAGAGAGCGCGACACAGGAGAACCAGTTAGGAGAGATTCCACAACTCATCATCTCACACACATTTAATCAGGACATACTCCAGGGATATTTCGGGATTATCATCGAGGGTCAGTGATCAAACACAGCTGTATAATAATCCAAGAGTTCGTTTCACACTATCTAAAATGCTAATTCTAAAAACAGTTTAATCAATGGATGATCATTTTGGGGAATTTTGGCTAATTATTCTGTAAAATAATTATTTAATTAATGTTTTGATGGATGTCTTATTTGCCATCATTAAATTTGATTAATTTATTTATTTAAATGTTATATATATTATTAAAATATATAAATTAAAATCATTTATTTAAATTTTATATATTAAAATATATAAATTACATTCATGCATTAAAAAAAATATATATATACACACACACACTTTGAGAATTTAAAGTAATAATTAAACAAATAATTTTACTTCATATATATATATATATATACATATGATTATTTAATTGAAAATTAAAAATATTAAATAAAATAATGTATATAATTATTTAATTTTTCACAAATTCCATTGTGTCTATGAACAAAACAATATATTATTTACTTTTATAAAATTTGATAAATGAATGAATAATAAAATAATTTAATTTAATACTTTTAATATATGATTTTATTATGATTATTTAATACAACTTTTTTTAATAATTAAAATGATCAAATAAAATCATGTATTTAATTTAAAATAATTAAAATACAAAATATATAAACGATACATTTTTCCAGAAACAAAAACATACTAAAAGTCACGGCGAGCTTTGTTAACGAAGTGTAAAGCGCACATCTAACGAGCTTGTGTTGATGACGTGCTAGAGAATATATCTGGGCCCGAGGGTCGTGTGAAACTGTTGTGATGAAGATGAACACTCACTGTCCTCCTCGGTCGAGTGCGTTCCCTCGGTTATGTAAATCTCCAGCTGGAAGGGAAGAAAGCCACAGAGAAAATGTGATCAGAGGCCGGGAAAAGACACCAGAAAGAAAAGGACATCAGAAACACGACGAGTCCGACAATAGCCATCGCGTTCACTTTCATTTAACGGCCTTTCATCAATGTGACACCTCATTAAAAGCCTCCATGCCATGAGGGGTGTTTACTCTTCCCATTCTTTCCCATTTCCACACGGCTAATAATAGAGAATCCAAACATCCGAGGAAATCTCTGAATAACACTGAGCCTTAAAGGGATAGTTCACCCAAACATGACAACTCTGTCAGTAATTACTCTCCCTCATGTTGTTCAACCCCGTAAGACTTTCGTTCATCTTCGGGACACAAATTAAGATATTTTTGATTAAATCTGAGAGCTGGATCACTCCTCCATAGGCTTCTCTGTAATTGAAACTGACCGGCCCAGAAAGTTAGTAAAGACATCGTTAAAATAGTCCGAGTGACTACAGTGGCTCAACCTTAAGTTTATCAAGCGACGAGAATACTTTCAAACAAACTTCTGTGTGGGCCTCGAGTTAATTATTTATTTGTATTTTTATTTCAAGCAATATAGTGACATATAACAAAGGCAATAAGAACGAAGCATTTGATTTTTAACAATATAAATCAATCAATTGCTCGAAACGGAGTGGGAAGTCGTCGGATTATTTAGACCCACCCCGGTCTGTTCCAGTTAAAGGGATACTCCACTTTTTTTGGAAATAGGCTCATTTTACAACTCCCCCAGAGTTAAACTGTTGAGTTTTACCGTTTTTGAATCCATTCAGCCGATCTCCGGTTCTGGCGGTACCACTTTTAGCATAGCTTAGCATACATCATTGAAGTGGACAAGACCATTAGCATTTCTAAAAAAAAAAATGACCAAAGAGTTTTGATATTTTTCCTATTTAAAACTTGACTCTTCTGTAGTTACATCGTGCACTAAGACCGACGGAAAATGTAAAGTTGCGATTTTCTAGGCTGATATGGCTAGGAACTATACTCTCATTCCTGCGTAATAATCAAGAAACTTCACTGCCGTACCATGAGTGCAGCAGGCGTAATGATATGACGAACGGACTGAAAATAGTTCCGTTGTGTTGAAGGAAGGTGGCCTATTTTCAGGCGCTGCGTCATATCTGGTATGCTAAAAGTGGTACCGCCAGAACCGGAGATCGGCTGAATGGATTCAAAAACGGTAAACCTCAACAGTTTAACTCTGGGGGAGTTGTAAAATGAGCCTATTTCCAAAAAAAGTGGAGTATCCCTTTAAAGGAAAAACAAGAAAGAAAAACAAAGGAAGCTGCTTCCTTAATTGTTGACATTGTCATTACTCTCAATTACAATTTTATTTATACACACATGAAAAAACAAAAAAAAACACAGCATATCTTAAATACACACCATATATTACCACAGGTAACAGTTATAGTGATACCAGCAATGGTAATCCGAATCCCTAACAAGGTAAGATAACACGGCCTATGAATACATAAATACAACTAGGGCTGCCCCTTTTGTGAAAAAATCCTGTTCGATTTTTGAGACATAAGTGTTCATTGAATCGTTTTTCCATGTCTAAAGACGTTTCCATTTTCAACACCAAATATATGCAAATCCACGGACACCTAACAGGCATTAGGACGAGCGTAAAGAGGCGCTTGAGACGCACAAGTCAGCAATATTCCTGATGATTTACTGGCGTGAAGTTTCAGCACAATGACAAACAGGAGCGCCACATTCAGGGATTGAGATTAACACCCTCGACCCGCCAAATGCGGGTAAAGATGAACTTTGGCGGGAAACGCTGTCGAATCACGAGCCAATCTGGCGTGTTTCTGTGTTTACTCACTTTGCTGGGGAAGTTCGTGTAAGACAAATCTGTGCAAATACGCAACTCGTGATCCTCATGATATATTAAATACAGCGTATTGCAGAATCTGCTCATTTCTGGCTTACTTGAACACACACGTCACTACGCAACACATAACGGCGGGCTTGTTCACTTGCACTGAAGTAATAGCGAATATTAAAAAGCATTTGGTGAACAGAAAAGACATTGTTATTCTCCAGCATCCTACATGTTCTGTGTGCTGTATTGATCTGTCCACCTAAAACACATTTTTGGTAAAAAAAAAAAAAAGGCCGTTAAAATCGATTCCCTATTTTCGTCTTCGAAACTTGTGTTGGTTGGTCCGATCGATTGTGCAATCGATTTTCGAAGGTAAAGTGACAGCCCTAAATACAACACCTAGAGGATTAAACCCCGGCCTCCTTGTACTGTGACAAGACTTCGGCCGTTTCTCAATATGCGTTCTTGTCTGTACTTGTGTTCTTGTGGACTTGTGAAACGTCATCAGTCACTGCCCAAGTACTGTTCCAATTCAAAGTTCACATCTAGCCAAGTCCAGTTCAAATCCCCGGATGTGTTCTGGATCCGCCCCGTTTACCGAGGATGCATCGAGATTCGAGAGGTGACTTGTGCGGACCTGAGACAGCTGGGTATCCCAGAATGCATCTCGCACCAACCAGCAATCATCAATACCAGAGGAGAAAACCCGCGTAATATCAAAATACTACTGTTATTGTGTCATGAAATGTAATTTTAAGAGTGTTTCAGGCGAGAATGTGGTTGTTTAAAGCTCAAATCTGTGGTTTATTTATAAAGATAGCGCCTATTTGAAAAATGTCTCTGACGTTTTCGGAGTTGCGACATCCAGGCGTTCACCGCGGGTGTTCAACGCTCATCAACCCCGACTGGAACAGCTTTTCCTCGGCTAGTGCTTCTGACGTTTGCCGCTGGCTCTGATGTCTCTAGTCTAGTGGATAAACTTGACGCATAATTCGTCTTGTGTATAAGTCGATCTTTGGTCTCATTAAACTATTGTTTGTTCCATGGCAAAAAATTGTTTTGGCTGAGGGGAAAAGTGAAGTTTCATAACTTTATATATTTAGGCTATTTAACTTTATAGCCTATTAGAGAGCTTACTTATGTTTGAATTGTTTGCCTTATCTATCATTGTAGATGTTATTGATCATTAAAACTGACATTCAACAAAAAGGGACAGGGTTGTGTAATTTTATTTTATACAGGGTATATGCAGGAATCTTGAAGTTAATTTTAATACCTTTTCAAGACTTTTTCAAGACCTTCTCAATATTTTTTAATACCTCACCGCCACTTCAAGCTGTAACCATTTACATCAGTGATACTTTTAACTTAACAGTTTTAGTTTGTAATAAAGACTATAGACCACTATGATAAAAAAAAATAATAGGCTGGGATAGTACATCAAAGCAGTTTATTAAAAAACAAAACAAAACTTTGCTCCACCCTCAACAACAATCATGCTGACATGTGCCTCAGTTCTTCGTTAAAAAAAAAAAAAAAAAAAAGACTAAATTCACACACTTTTACAATGTTTTTGGGACTCAAACTGTTGGACAGCTAATTCAGAAAAAATTAGGGATGCACCAAAATGAAAATTCTTGGCCGAAACCGAAAACCGAAAAAGAGGAACCCAAGGCCGAAAAAACGAAAACCGAAACACCGAAAGAAATTATGCCAATTATAAGTACCATTGCAATTGCATAAATTAACATTTTCAAAGAATAAATCAATTACAAATTATGCAAATATTTATTTAGCACAATGCACAGTATAAAATAAAATTCAAACTAAAATGTTTAACTTGACCCCACTCATGTGTACATTAAATAATAATCTGCTGGCCTGCAGAAAGGTTTTAAAATGAAATGTTCTCTCATAAAAACAAAGCCGAGCACGAACTTCTCATCACACCAGCACCCAGTTTGCACGTCTAAATTAGTTGATTACATTTTAAAAATGAGCATACACTAGCATAAAAAGCCATTTTAATGAACAAAGGTCCATGTTTAATACAAATGTACACGAAACTTAATGAAATATGTTTAGTGAAATTAGAATATATTTAAGAGAGCGTTAATTTAGTACATATTCCTATACATATTTTGTTGTAATGTCACAAGTAATAATCTCAGGGTTTACTGGGTTTTACATGATTATTTTTGTATTGGTGGTGGTACTAAAAAATAAACATTGTCACGTGTTTATCTTTCTTCTTCTCACCGATTCCTGATGGTTAGAGGACAGTTACTTGAGTCGTCCCCTGTCGTTTCAAAGAATAGTGCAACGGCGAGCGCGTCAAGTATAAACGCCTCGACCGTTTGGAGCGGTGCGCGCGCTGTCTGTGGAGACTCGCGCTGCGGAGGCAGGCGAAAGTATAAACATGGCTTCCGTCTACTCGCGGGTTCAGATATACTGAAATACGTCCACACCGCAGACATGTTGCTTCAGACAAGCACGTGCAGGTCGCGGTTTCTGTTTGCGTCATCACAACATTTCGGCCGTATTGTTTCGGTGATAAAAGTCTTTCGGCCGAAAACCGAAAATGCACTTTTGGGCTATTTTCGGCGGCCGAATATTCGGTGCATCCCTAGAAAAAATACTTTCAAAATTTAAGACTTTATAAAGCCGTGATAAGACTTTTTAATACTTTTTAAGGGTCTTAATTTTCCCAAAATTGATTTATCACCTTTTAATACTTTTCAAGACCCCGCGGATACCCTGTTATATACTTTAAAATATATATATATTTTTATATTTATTTCAACATTCTCTTCACTATGTACAATAAAATAAAATGACACAACCCTGTCTCTGTTTGTTAAATGTCAATAAAAATCAATAATGTTTCATATTTTTTAAATGAAAACAAAAATATCATGTTCATGTTGTTATAAATATATGCAGTGAAGATAATACGCGTTGCCTGAACCACATGGCCATTAGGCTCCTATGTTTAAGATTTTTAAATGAAAAAAAGTGGCAGAGTGGTGTTTTATAACATATTTCATTTTATTGTTGATGAAAAGAGGCAGAGTTGTAGCATATTTCGTTTTATTGTTGCCTAAAATATACATAAAGAGATAATCGGAGTAGCCAGAGCGAGCTGAGTGACGCGATCGAGAACGCGCTGTTCCATTTGCAGAATAACCGGACTCGCGTCCTCTCGTCCTCGGGAGTTCGTTCTCTTGAGTCGAACTTGGCAAGTCCGAACTACCAAGGACGCAAGTCTGAAGTTTGCGTACTTGGTATTGAGAAACGGCCCTTCTGTTTATAGAGTGAGTTCACGTGTGTAACAGCGCAGCGCTTCAGAACGCAGGCTCACTATTGGCCAGCATCACACGCATCATCACACATGACCAGCGTCAGCCAATAGCGAGCCAACGTGAGGGCGAGTAATTACTGACAGAGTTTTCACGTTCGGGTGAACTAACCCTTTAACGGTGAGACGTACCTTGTGTTTGAACGGCAGGCAGCGCTGAAGTTTGACTTGTAAACACAAACCTGCAGGAACAGGGAATAACAGGAGACACGGGGTTAATTAGCTGTTGTTTCACACCTGACATTAATGCTGTCTGAATCATAATCACACACTGTTCGCTCGTTAGCCAGAGGAGAACCGAGCGACTGAGTCTGGCTTCTCTCAAGGGTCACTGATGAGTTTTGGTTCCTCGACACTTTTTTCACCATTGGCTTTTGCTTAGTTGGGGACGTTTAATTTAATATTCAACAATATTATTGATCTCCTGCATTGACACTGAGCTGGACGATGACATCACAGTTTTCTCCAGAGCGGCTATATATAAATGAACTAAATTAATAACTTTTTTTACAACAGAAATGAACCATCACTGAACGCTGTGACAGTGACTCCATTTTCTTCTAGAAACAAACTTTGTTGCATTATTTTCCTGTTATCTCTGTAAAGCTGAAACACTCTGTGTTGTAAAAAGCGCTGTATAAATAAAGCTGACTTTACTAATCTACTAATCCAATAAAGTAAGCTTTAATCACGGCCGGAGGATCTCAGATAAACTTCAGAGAATCCCACAGTTTTTATAGAATAGGAGGTATGGCAAAAATGACATGAAACATTACATAATTTCCCTACAATTTGATTGGTTCTTCATATGGAAACCCTTCTGTTGCTAGGTAGAAGCAAACTTAGATCTCAAATCATTAAAAAAATGGAAAAGGTTAGAAGTTCAGTTGATTACTCAATATGCCATGAGACTATATTTATATTTTTGATATTGTTTAGCCAGCATCTCAGAATCTTCCACTGGTTTCGAGTACATTTTGTATATATAATAATGTCACAAATACAAAATAAGTCATTTTCTTAATGCAAAATGTCTCTTGAATTTGAAGTGAAATTTGATTCACCCACTATATTGCCTGCTGTGGATTGGAATTATTGATAAGTACAATTATTTATTCATAAGGTTCACTATTAGAAGCTCTGTTAACATTCAGACAGTCGAGCTGCACTTGACACTCACATTAATCTGATCGTTATAACCATCAGAACTTCATAATAACTGTGTTTTCTGCAGCATCAAACACCATTAGAGCTTCAGAACGCATTCAGTCCTGTTCATTTCTAGTGGGAAAGCAAATATCAGCTCTGTGTAGATTACTTCATATACAATATATATAATCTGAGAGATTATACTGATCAGACCCTGTACTGGATGCTGTCTGTATTGTGTCTTTGATATTGTGTCGTTTTTAAGCCGGTCTAGATAATGGATTAACAATTATTTAATGATTATGAAAGGCCTAATAGTTTGGTTCTTGTTTTTTGTTGCTGGACGGTGTGATTGTGTCGTTGTCAACAAAAGATACGGTGTGTGTTTTCTGCATTGTCTGCTATCTGTGAGGTGCAGTGATGAACGTTTGAGGTCACATGACTGTTTGGTCTTATCATTTCACACGCACACACACACACACACACACACACACACACACACACACACAACCCCTAAACCTACCCATCACACACACACACACACACACACACACACACACACACACACACACACACACACACCTATCAGCGTGGCCAGAGAGCAGTGTGGGACGGTGGGAGAGAACTTAATGATGATGAGGTATTCCTCGTCTCCGAGCTCCTGCACACACACACACTTCTCCGTCACGACGTCGAGCTCCTCCAGAGTGTTGGGCTTCTCCGGATCACGAATCGTCCGGATCACGTCTGTGAAAACAGAGAGAATCACAAAAACACATCTTCAACATCATTTAAACAAGCAAAATATCTGTGAATAAATCTAACATTTACCTTGGTTTCCATCAAAATACCATATTCAATATAACGTTGGTACTGTACCATGATAATAGGTCAATTTTCTGGTTTCTGGTCATGGTATTAACATGGTATTAATGTATCAAGGAAATACCTTGTTTTCTTTTCATTTTGGGCTTTTAACTTACTAAAGTAATATGATGCTATTATTCGAAGTACCCGGAAAATGACTATGGCAATGATTCAGTACATTGGTATATAACATATCATGGTATTTCCATCTGACACCATCAATGTACCATGGTAATACCTTGCTTTTTTGTTGTTGTGGATATGTACTATGGTAATACGATGGCATTCTTTAAAGTAACAGCCAGGAAAATATAATGGTATATGATTATGGTAATGTTTACCACTGTTGTAAGTTATACAAATATAATGTCATGGTATTTACACCTGACACCATCACTGTACCATGGTATAACCTTGTCTTGTATTATGGATATGTACCATAGTAATATATCATGGTATTCTTTGAAGTAACAGGTATTTGTTATAAGAATACTGCAATGATTCCGTCTCATGGTTAACGTTATAGCCATATAAATGTACCGTGGTATTTCCAACTGACACCGCTGTTCCCTGAAACGTAACGTTATTGCTATTCTAAGGTCATCGTTACTCACCATACACCTCCAGCGCTTTTTCCTCCATATTCTTGCTTCTCTTGTCATTCGTCAAGTCAGAAAGTGCAGTAAGGGTCCAGACTCGGTTCAGTAGTCCGAACACGAGCTCCATGACCCGGTCCGGTCCATCGCCATAGCTTCAACGGTCACGCGCTTCTGATCTTCCGCGTTCACACAGAGTCAGACCAGAGCGATCAACAGCCGAGCAGAGAACCGTTCGTGATGACGCGTTTTAACGGTCATCAACATTGTAAAGCCTTCATTTACTGTCAAACTGTTTTTTTTGTTTTGTGCTATGGTGTTGTTGACGTGTTTTCTTTTACTATTCTTTATATTTTTGTTATTCTTAATAATTATTGTTGTGTTCTAGTTTTGTTCATTCACAAAATCCTTCAAAGTTTTTTTTATATTTTTTTAATGTATGTTCATTTATTACACTATGCATTATATTACTTTTTTAAATATCAAATTACAAGAAACTAGTTAACGCTGCGGTGGAGTGACATCTTTCTCTCATAGACTGTAAAAAAAAGCTTTCCTTTTGCTAGTCTCTCGTTCACATTGTTAAAATAATTAATAATTAATATTATGTACTAGTCATAATTATGAGATTTAAAAGTCGAAATTATGACTTTCTTATGACATAATTTCGATAAAATATGTCATAATTTCGGCCTTTCATCTCATAAATATGAATCAATATGTCATATTTTAACTTTATATGTCATAATTCCTATTTATTTATGTCATAATTTCGAATTTTCATCTCCTAAATACAACTTAGTACCGCATGACTTTTCATGTCATTAAATATTATTTGCAAAATAAGAATTACGTAGAGGAAATGGGTGCTGTGTTTGATTGGTTTTCCTGCCGTTCACGTGACGGGCATGTGATAATCAGCTGGGGTTTGTTTGGATCATGGAGGCTGATATTTTGACTTTAGAACGAACGCTGTAGTTCGTTTTTTACTTGAGGACTTTGTTATTTTCATCTCGATTGTCTCTTGGTTTGTGTTTCCTGGTGAAGGATGTGTGTTATTCCTGAGTGATTGACAGCGGT